ATCCCCATCGAATGATTTTACGCAGTCATACCACATCTGACAGTCGTGACGTCAAACGTGCTCGACAGCAGGCAAGTGTTTTATTGAAATATTCGATTTTTGTGTACCGTGTATTGGAGTATAACTACGATACTAGTAGAAGCCTCCGAAATAATGAGTTCATACAATTAGCCACCGGTATTGTTGATTTGTGCAAGGACGTTAATTCTTCAATTAATTCGAGCACTATTACTTCCCATTTAGAGGTTTTACATTCTGCTCTTCCTAAGAGTTGGAGTGTTCTTCTTCTTTCTCAGTTGCCGATGTCTAACTCTTCCCAGAGGGTTTCTTTGTCTCTTTATAAACCCTCTGGAGATGGATATTTTCTTTTTGAGGGGTTGTCTATGAAGTATGTTTATTGTATATTAAATGTTCGTATGCACTCTTCGGTAGTCCATAATTTTTGGAGTTCTGTCGTATTATCTACTAAAGGTGGAAAAATAATGGAAGTCATGTTTTGATCCTTTTGTTGGGTTTAAATTATTCGAGTTACATTTTTTACTTTGACATCATACAGTGACCACAAATGTGAAATTGGTTCACATTCTCTTTGTCAGGTGTCATTAGAATCTATTACTCATTAATTTTTGCATATTGTGGGATATTGTTTTTTTATCTAATTTCAAATATGGTGGATCGGGTACTTACAGATCATGAGAAATGTCTATATGCTTTAGAGTTTTTCTTTAGGGTGTATCTAAATTTTATGCGTAATTATGTCGTACTTTTAGTTCATTAGCGAAGTTGTTTATTTTTTATGCGGGGAAAACATTTTTGACAAAAAGTCAATTTATTAATTTGTTATGTTATTTTAAAACTAGGTTAGAAATAATTTTTTTCATTTTTGTAAGTATTCACAAAAAATAATTTGGATAGTTTTCAGTTTTTTATATAGTACAGTTGGTAAGTTAATGGAGCGTGGATTTATCCTTGTGCCATGTTTTACTTAACAGTATTCAGTGTGTGTAATTAGTTTATTTCGATGTTTTTATGTTTTCCTGTCTTTATTGTTCTTGCTATTAACTTTTTTGATGTAATTATGTATAATATTTATTGGTTTTATTTGTACCGTTTTTTATGCATATGCCCCTTCTATGAGGGTGGTGAAATAAAGACAACAACAACTGGTATTCTATATATATTGATAGTTTAATGATATCTTGTGAAATTTTAAATGATTATATCTCCTAGATATAGACCCGACGTTGTCTAGTGGTTAGCATGCTGCAGTGCATAACAGCAGGTCCTACGTTTGAGTCCACTTTATTGTATTTATTTTATTTTAGCTTATACTAAGAAGTAAAGTAAATAAACCAATTATAAGGACTCGTGAGCATATGGTATTACATAGAGAATTTTCGTCCTCACCTCTACAGTTGTTGTCGGTCTAGACTGTCTCTGTCATATCTTTGCTCCGTGGGTGTTGGTGATAACCAATCTGGCCACGTAGACTTATTTCTATAACAATCACGTGTACAAATAGAGCTGCACGTAACAAAGTTACTTAATTTGGCCTTTGTTTCATTGTAAAACTCCAGTTTGACTTTTAAGATCAGATGATCTGGAGATGGCCTGATCCAGTTTTATTTGTCTTTTATTTTAATTCTAACTGTGTCGAGCAGGGTGTTAACTTATATTTTTTGTTTAGTTAAATTGTTTCAAGGATTTTGCTTTTTTTGGTCAAGTTTTGGGTAAAATGGAGTTAATGCTCGAATAAAGATTAGTTTTGTTTCTCGTGAAATTGCAAGTGTGCCCCTTCGTACTCTTACCTTCGACAACTCTTTTTGCGTGTGTACTCTCTTACACGAATCCCAGGATCGTCTTTACTGCAATCAGTAACAGGAACAGTAGGAAAAGAAGTAACAAAGTACTGATTTTGAAATGAATTTTAAATTATAGAAAGATGTAATTAAGATATTAAAATACTATACACTCAAGTGAAAAGTGTCACAGGACATTAAGAATCTCGATTAAAGCAGAAATAAAACACGGATATTAACACTTAAGTCTAATTTGTTTACGATACAATGAGATTAATACCCAGAAGAAAATTTCTAATATGAATGTACTCCACAATCTCTCACTGATATCAAATAAATCTAGAATATAATAAACTAGAAAGATTACAAAGTGGAAGCGTTTAGCCTAATAAGCGTTTCACTGTCACTGCATAGTTGTGAAAAGTAAGCTAAAAGGTGATTTCATATCAGGCTGTACTTTAAAGTTTGTAGTGCAAAGACACTTTATTGTGATTTGTTGATATCTACCGATGGTGAAAATGCCATGAGTTTCATAAAACACGCGAATTTCTAGTTTATTAAATAGATTATAATGGCATTCTTTGTGAAATCCTAATGATCGGATAAAGTGTAATTTGAAAACTATGTTGTAATGTGCTTAACGAGAACAAGATATTAACTGGTTGAAATTCATGAAAGGATTTTGTCGTTAAAATCCAGAATTACTTCGCAAATATTTCAAAGATCACCATATCGTCTACAATAAGCTTAAGCGCATAGTTTACATAGAGCCTCAGGCCTTATTCAATGTTTAATTACAATATATGCTGCATATACAAATATGTTAAGCAAATTTATTGCTCAGTAAATCCAATAAACAGCAAGCTTCGTTTCCTGCTTTCTAATATTGTATTAAGCGGTATTTTACTTCTGGATATTACGATTGACAGAAGCAAATAGATGTTTCGTTTTTACTTGTTCATTTGTTTTACAGAAAAAAAGTCCATGAATGTGATGTGACTGATTAAAAAAACGCGATGCAGCAGTTAAAACTAAGATTAATGTGGTGAATCAGTTATACGTATATAGACACTATAACAGATATGTGTGTATATATATAACAGTACACGTAATATATATATAACCTATTTGTAGCCTTGTTTACATAAAAATAACCTCTAATCATTTTAAGGTCAAAAAAGAGTTTATACTTACCTTAAACAAGAACTACTTAACGAGCACATTACTGATTAAACATTCTGCTCTATCACTATTTCTGGTGGTTTGTGGCGACATTGTAATTTAGTTTCTTGAAAACTGTACTGGCGACTTAAATCAGTATCGGGCGGTTTATGGCGAAACTGTAATTAGGTTTTTTAAAGACTATACTATCGACTTGAAATAATTTCTGGTGGTTTGTGGCGACATTGTAATTTAGTTTCTTGAAAACTGTACTGGCGACTTAAATCAGTATCGGGCGGTTTATGGCGAAACTGTAATTAGGTTTTTTAAAGACTATACTATCGACTTGAAATAATTTATGGTGGTTTGTGACGACGCTGTAATCGGGTTTAGGAAATATTGTACTAACGACTTAAATTATTTTCTGATGGTTTATGGCAATAATGTAATTATAAATATTTGAATACTGTACTGGCGACTTAAATCGGTTTCTGGTGGTTTGAAAAGACGTATCGTGGTTCTTAATGTGTTGTTACGAAACTCTATTCCCCGTTTCCCATAAATTACAGCAGTACTTTATTTTCGGTGATTTTTTAGCTACGCTGTTATGCAGTTTCTGGTGATTTGAGCGGCACTGTGGTGCAATTCTTAGTTTATTGTGTTGCTTTCATGATTTTTCTAATAGTTTCTAGAGATGCTGTAATGAATTTTCTGATAGATTTAGTTTCAAGTAACGTAGCTTTCAATGTCCTTTGAAAGACCTATTAAGTTACATGATTGAAATGTCTGGTATAACAACAATTCATCTTTCGCTTCCAACTGTTGTCTTGAAAGTCACGCATGTGTATAATTAAACTTGAAATTGTAGTAACATTTCAACAGTTGCTGATAGATCATGTATTAAAATAGGAGAAGTATAGCTTCAGACTATTACCAGAAATAAATAACAAAAAGTTGTTTTCTGAAGATTGATACACCTATTCATGTTTTCCTAAATCAAGCCTCGACTTTATGTTGCTAATTTCATTAAACGTGTTTGTGTTTTACTTGTTCACCTAAGTGAGGAAATACAAGTCATGATTGAATAATCTGAGTATTCAACAAAAAATATTTTAAACAATTAAAACACCTTAACTAAACGTCCAGAAAAACATGCAAAAA